ATTTTTTTAAATAAAATTTTAATTTTAAATTTTTTAAATAAAAAAATAAATGTTAAAAAAGCTTCTCTCTAATAAGATTATTAGATATCCAATGCGATTCGATTTTGAATTAATCGAAATTTAATGTGATTATTGGATACTGAAAAATTAATAAAAAAGAGAGATGAAAATGAAAAATAAAAGTTTAATTTTTTATGTTAAAAAGTTTTTTTATGTCTATAATTTAATAGATTATTTTACAAATCATTTTCACAATTATGATAATATTTATCCATAGCAAATTTTTACTTCATAATTTAGATAATTTAGATGTATGAATTGATAGATATTAACTTATTTAATATTATGAGATTACTGTCATTATTTGTGCTAGCATTGCTACGGAAGGACTGATGACCCAAAAATGAAACTTAGAAAACAATAATAATTGGTAACAAGATAGGAAGGAACGTTACTTTGCCCCACCAAGTCACAATTTATGGAGGTAACTTTTCTACGAGATTGAAGAATGATTTTTTAAATTAAAGAAATTACTCCTAAAACTTGGTCAACATTTATGAAAAGTTAACTTTCTTGTTAACCCAAAGCATAAACATGCTTTGTGTGAAATTCACTTTCTCCTTTTTCCCTTCGTGTGCAAAATAACATTCTCGTGAAACGAAACAGGGTGCGCGGTGACTGGTTCGCGGTAGTGGGTCGGGGACCCGCAAAAAAGACGAGCCGGGCCAGGCCAGGCCGAAAACAAGGGAAAAAACAAAAAAGAAGTTTTACTTTCCGAGGTACTAAAATGACGAAACGGTCCTTCCACGCCAGAGAACGCGACGCGGTCAAATATGAGCAGATCGCAGATGTCATAAATGGACCATAATGTCCTCGCCTACCCTCATTTTGTATTAAACTGTATTAATCACTTTGAATAATTTAGGAGTTTAGTGCTAACTTACTTAAAAAAATAATTAAAAAAATTTTGAAATTAAATTACATGACATATAAGTTAATCACTTTAAAATCATGTTTTTTTTAATAAATTTTTTGGTATATAAAATAATAAATTATATAATAAAAAATAACCCTCTTAATTCATCTTATAATT